ATTGAGTGGACAGTAATCTGGTGGTCAGTTCTCATAACCTTTACGGCAAACCTCTCACTACAGTCCTTATAATCGCAAACATAGGGATAGGGAACGGCGTGTACTTTAAGCTTATGTTGATTTAGTAGTAATTCACTGATGAAAGTGCGGACACAACGTCTGTCATCGCATTCAAACGGATAATACGTTATATGATTGTCGCGTATGTGTCGATATAAATGGGTTTCGCACTTAAAGGCTTCGTCGCACGTGTCGTAATCGCAACAAAATGGTAGGGCTCTCATGTGGTCAGCCTTTATGTGGTATTTTAGGGCCGACCGGTGCGCAAACCAATTCCCGCAACCGGTATACTCGCACCGGTAGGGGATGTGCTCTAAGTGTTGGCTGCGTCTATGTCTCACGTAATCAAATGATCGCTCAAACCGTTTGCCGCAGTCTTGTTGACCGCAAACGTATGGCTCGAGTATCTTATGTGCGATAAATTTGTGTTCATTTAATCGCAATCTATTGTCAAACTGTTTGTCACAATTGTTTACATCGCAGTCTAAGCTAGCCATAAGTTTATCGCAATCTCTATTGTCTTTATCAGACCACTCGCCATCACTCAAGGAACGCCTACTGACCGGTGAAGCACTCGTGGTATCACTCACTGGTGGTATAACTGGTGATGGACTCCTAGTATTGGTCACTAAACGACTGGACATATAATGCATTAAACCGTCGAATGACTCCAATTCTGGTCTGTCGTCATCGGAATCGGAACACAGGTAGCCGTCAGACCGCATACACCCAGAGAAGGCAATAAGTCTCGGTTTTCTGAATTAAAATTTAAATAACAAATTAATTTAATTATAAATCAAACTTTAAATCACTTTAAAACACATACTCTTTGTTAGACTTAGCTTTTGGTGGACTTTTGTTATCAACTGAAGTACTGGGCGAAGGATTCCTGTCCACTGAATGGTCGGGCACTACATCACTACTATTTGAAATGAGTGACAATGACTGGTCAGTCACTTCTTCATCACTATCATGAGGTGCTGTTGTCGTCGATTGTATGTCTGTATGTGTTGTGGGGTTGAGTTGAGTATTAATAGCAATCACTGCTTGACTAACATTTGTGTCACTATTTTATTTAAAAGAATAAAATTTTAAATCAATAAATACCGGTTTATACAGTACTGTAGAATTAATGTCTATTTAATACCTGAGATTAATGTCTGAACAGAGATCTAGGCTTGAAGTGGACGGAAGGGGAAGGCCTTCAGCTATCATCTGCTGAAGTCTGTCATCCAGTGATGGCAACGATTTGTCCGATATATCGGTAATATTTGATGAGATTTCACTAAATGTTTGACTATTTATTTGATTAACAAATTAACTATAAGTTCAGCATAAATATCACTAAATGTTTTAAAAACATACTTAATGTCTGTATTAGCAACTGATGTGTTGGATATGCTTGAGATTGTAGAAAATGACTGATCAAACACATTACAATCCCCTTGACTTGAAGTGGATGATAGGGGAATGCCTTCAACTACCATCTGTTCAAGTCTACCATCGACTGCTATCACCGATTGATTGTCAGTTGATTTAGTATTATCTGTAGTAGTGTTCAATTCAGTGGCAATCACTTCTTGAGAAGCATTTGATTCACTATTTTTTAAACACAAAATTAAATTTTAATTTAATTCATATCTAAACTAAACGTCAAAATACTTGTTGCAAGTGTTGGCCATTAAATCGGCGGTCAGTGGCTGACTAGTGGCCACTATTGGCAACGATGTCTCAATTGGTGTACGTTTTGTATCACTGATTACATCGCAATCGACATCCATATTATCATTGGTATAGCAGACATCGTTACGGCAATCAGTGGTATTTGAGACCCTGGCCTCTGGACGGCTTAACATTCTTTTCAATAGTCTGGGATCTCTTACTACAGACAACACACTATCGTAAGCCACGGCTACGTCAGGAGTGGGCCGGCTGTTCGTTTACAAACAAAAATAATTTCAGTTATTAAATGAAATCAATTGAATTAATAAAATAAATACTTTTGAGAAGTGCTGGCCTTTGAGGCGCTGTCGGCGCTATGATTACATTTAGACTGTATTTCCGCCGAATGTTCAGTGATTTGGTGTTTCTTAAGAAAATGCTTTCCTTTGAAGCTTCTGCCGCAACCACTGTATCGACACTTAAACACATAGTGAACACAGTTTTTGTGATTATTTAAGTGTACGTATGAATCAAACTTTATGCCACACTTCTCGTAATCACAGATATAATAAGCGCGACCAATGTTTAGATCACTATGTTTAGGGCACAAAAATATGCATAAAATTACGGTAATAATAAAATATTGTATGCCTTTAAAAGTAAATACCGTACATTATTTTATTCGTGACATCAGTTGCCAGTGTGTTAGCTTCTGGAGGACCAGTTATCTGTTTATATGGATTATCAACTGATGGACAATGACTATCAGACACAGAGTGGTCTATAGATCCGTTGATATCGGGGTTTTCACCACTAATTGTATGAAAAATTAAATCATTAATAATTTACTATAATATTGTAGACAACAAGTAAATCTTAAATCACATACTTATCAGCACTGGTATTCGTCCTCAACATGTTGGACACCCGTCGCAGTAGATTATCATATCTCTGACATAACTGTCTGGTTTCGTCGGACACGTCACTCGACTGTTCCGAGTCGTCGTCATCGCTCAAGACATCGCTATTAGTTAACCAAAAAATATTAAATCAATTAATAGGTAAAAGGTTTTCACAATCGTATGTCACAATAAACACATACTTATCGGAACTTCTGGCTACTGATGAAAAGCTGTCGGCGCGAGACACACAAACGGGTGACTCCGGAACGTCATCCATAGACTCGTCAATCGCTATATTGATTGGACTCTCATTTTTAATGCTATTGTTTGAACTATTAGCAAGGTCTTTAGCATTTAAAACATTTCTATTTTGAACAGGAATTCTGTTTTGAAAAATAAACTCAATGTTAATGATAATAAATTACAAAAACATATACCAGTAGTAAACAACACATACAAATCAAGAATAGTAGCCATGGGAGGGACTGGGAGGTAAATCACTTCTGATTTGGTCGGCACACAATTATCTTGAGTATTATGTGTAGGGTCAGGCACTGGTGTTTCAGTTATCAATTGTTTGGTAGGCTTTGTATCGTTATTGTCAACCACTTCAGGCGGGGATATGTCTATGTCTAAGATCTCAATGTCATCGATATTTGAATCGCTATTTTGTGAACAAAAACATTTAAATTATATTTTTAATTGACTATTAATTTAGGAATAAAAACAAAATACTTGTTGAAAGTGTTGCCAATTGATTTGGTGGCCGAAGGGTTGTTAGGCCCCGGGAGGACAGCTATGATTTCGATATCAGAGTCACTATTGTTAACAACAAAAATTAAAAATTATTACCGGTACTTTTTCAAATGATTACCAATTGTTAGTTTCAGACATACCTATCGGAACTACAGGTGATAGTATCCATTATATGAGTTGCCGGTACCGGTAGTTCTTTGCTTTCCCTTAATTTTATACGTTTCGGTGAACTTTGTACAGTAGTAGGCGAGTGATTAGCATTTCGTTTCCCGCGAAAACTAGTATTTTCGGGAATAGTAGTCGATGTTTCGTTGAGCACAGGTATACAAGCAGTTAATGGTGTGGTTCTGTGTAAAATAGATTTATAATTTAAATTTCTAAAACATTTTAGTTTATAAAACACATACTTATGAACGGTATGGATGTGGGAAATGGCGAGCGCCGGCTGTTTATCCGGCATTTGGAATGTATTTGAATGACTAGCGTTTCGATCGCTATTTTAATCGCAAAATAATTAATTTCTAAATACAATTAAATTTCTATAGATTGCAAACCATTGAGACTTACTTTTGGCGTGAATTAGTGACTGAATTATTGTGAGCCCCGGTAGGCAAGCCTAACCTCTTACGTAGCCTCGGGTCTCGTAGATCTGTTGTCCCAGTAGTCGGCACTGGAGTATTGGAAGACCTGTTTTGAGGGTATAAAAGCATTAAGCAATACATTGCAACAAAAAACAACTAATTATGTGAAAAATAAATACGTTTGAGAAGTGTTTGCATTTGAATGGCTATCGGCGCTGAAGTAGGAATACCGCCGTTTAGTGAACAACGAATGGCTACTATTTTTGTGTAGACAAAGATCTACTTCATAAGCAAATACTTGTTGACAATCGGGATAATCACACGGAAACGGCTTATGAATGTCTATGAGATGTTGATTGAGTTTCTTATTGTTTTTAAAGCTTTTATGGCAACCACTGAACACACAATTAAACGGTTCACTAGTAATCAAATGATCGCGTTTTGTGTGCCTATTGAGCAAATATTTTTCGCTAAATATTTTTCCACAATTACGGTAATCACAGACATAGCCAGACGTGAGGTCAGCATTTATTGAACTATTTTATGGCAAAATATATGTAGAAATCAATTAATTATAAAAATTAATGCAAAACACAATTACTTGTCATTTGTATCGATTTGTGTGGAGTTATCGATAGGAGTTGCAGTGTTTGGCACTGGAGTCTCAGTAATAGGCTCATCCCTAACGCTCAGTGCTTGAAGTAGTCTGTCCGCTAATGGAGTAATAGTGGACACGTCGGGCACCGGGAGGTT